AATTAATAGTACATTTCTTTGATCTTCCCTTCTCCCATTTGTATTTTCCTTCTTCAACCTTAGCCAAAATATAATTCTTAATATTTTCAATATATAAATGATTAGGTATAGGCATTTTTTATATTTATACAAATAATAATAATCTCTCTATATAACTTTTTTTCAGCTTATATTATTCTCATAATCATCATCTCATTAATTCAGCATACATCCTATTTTTATAATTTTTGTTCGTTTAGATTCCCTTATATTCAATCCAAATCTCATCAGTCATAATTTCTTCATATTAGTCATCTTATTATCTAAATTTTCCCATTTAGGTACATCATCCCATTATTTTATGTCATGCATTATAAAAATACTATACTTTTTTTTTTTACTCCAGAAGATGGTAGAGGACAGGAAGACCTGGAGGAACGTTGTCCGTGGGGTTGCGATGGGTCGGACACGACTTCACAATTAACAACAAAATACTTTTTATCTGTCTTATAATATCTATATATAAATCCTTTTTAATCAATTTATATTTTATTAATAAAATATATTTATATTTTATTAATAAAAGTTACATCAACCTACTTTTAACATTTAATATATTATAAAACATATTATATTACTTAAATCTCGTTATCCTTCTTGTTATAAGGCCCCTTTATGTTCGAAATTCTCTGTTCTTTTAGCTATATTCAAACAAATGTTTATTCACGTAGGGCGAGTCTCTTGTATCTGTCTCTGAACTTCTTTTGCCAAGTAATTTTCCAAGTTGATATAATCTGCTTACTCAACATTTCCTATATTTTTACAAATGTTGTGAATACAAAAGATGAAGTAAGTAAAATAATTTTTTTCTGTCCCCCAAACTTTAATAGTTCTCCTAATAATTCCATTTTTCTTGTTGTATCAGAACCTTGTAGATTTTTTTCCTGTTTTGTGTCAAATTGTAATTCTTTTCCTTTGTTATTTCATCAATTTGATCATACTCTTTTAGTTTGTAATCTGCTGTCTGATTTGTTTGTTCCTTTGTTGTTATTTCCTAGATATTTTTTAGTTGTAGATTTAGATTGGAAATATGCTTATTTAAATCCTCAAAGTTGTTTCGAATTTTGTCGTGGTTTGAATCTATTGTCGTTTGTATTTGTCCTAACATTACATATATTTCCTCCGGGAAAGTATTTATCTTGCCTTGAAGTATTGCTTCTGGAGGCCCTTGATTTTCCAAGCTAAGTCCTTCAGGAGAAAATATTGAATATGGCACCCTGTCATTTTTTGATACGTATGTGATATCCATGTTGTCTCCGCCCTTCAAATAATTTTTCATCAATGTTTTAATTCAAAAGTCAATTATCAGTCAGTCAAAATTACAGATTCAGTATATTAAGTCACTTTAAATCCTTCCTGCAAATTCTCCTCTAATAGATTAGAGCCAAGGGTTTCCCCCCCCCCCCCATAAACAGTTCTTAGGTTTAAACAACAGTCCAGGTGATGTTGTTTTTTTTTTCAAACACTTTTTAATCTTATAGCTGGCTCTTCCTTTGTTCCCAGCTGTCTTCAAGGTTATTTGCAATTCAAAGGAACAACTTTTTCTTTGTTTCTGGGCCATTCTGCCAATTTCTGGGTCCTTATTGTTAGTGTTCTATTCTCTGATTCTCCACTAGATGTCAGCAGTTATTTCTTTTTTCAGTTTTTCTTTCAATCAAAAAGTTATTTTTGTTACATATTTTTATAATTCCATCAAAAAAATTTAGGGTATAATCTTGACAGTTTTTTAGTTCCTAGATTTGTCCAGACTGAAATATTTTAAATCAAATTTTAGTATATCTCTTTGCACCTTTTATATTAATTCGCCGCTTCCGTGTGTAAGGGAATGGGGATATAGTCCCCTCCTTTCACTTCTGGAGGTTTTCTTGCTTTGGGGATCTTTTCAACGATTTACATAGTAGATAGAAGAAAGAAGATCAGTACTCTCACCAATTCCAAGCATGCTGTTCACCGATGTTTAGGTTTGTGCTCTGGGACTTCAGCTGCAAGCAGCTTGGGCCAGACGCTGATCTCACGCTAGCCTTACTCCTGTCGGGTTTGGAGAGCTTTTCCTGGCTCAAACGAAGCGATTGCCGTCGCTTCGTGATCGATGGTGTGCCCCTCCTTCACAGTCACCTCTCCAGGGCAACTTTGGATCCATCTAAGGTCCCCCAAGCAGGAAGAAACTAGCTGTGAGGAGCGGAGGACCAGTCTCAAGCGGCCATGCGCTGATGATGCAAAACCCGGAAGTCTCACTTAACTAGTTTTTTAAATCTCATCTGTTGTGTGATCCATTAAAACATTCAGTTTCAGATTTCAATGCTTGTGCTAATAACGATTTGAACACTCTTTTTCAGTTTTTCTGTTTCTGCTGCTTTGTTCTGGTAGTCCCGATCTCTATGACTCAAGTATCTAACATATTTCACAGTTCACTCCATTTTCTTAAGCTCAAAGACAGAAGTGAGGTTCAGAGGGCAGAAAGGTACTCATATAATACTAATCTGCAACTCTTTAAGGAAAACATTTTCCAGGGATTTGTGGCAACCTTCTGCAGCATTAGCAGTAGCAGCTGTGCGATTCTGAAATAAGACTCGTTTGATTGCACATCGGTGCTACATGCAGATTTCTCCATTAACTCAGACCCACTTTTTGTCCTCAGGTCCAAATCACTACACAGGAAAATTTATTTGCAGCACTAAGTAAATAAATTTGCTGCTGGTCAACTAAGAAGCATACCCCACTAGGTTTAATGAGATTTTCTCCCAGGTAAAGAATGGTAAAATGTATTAATTTTTATTGATGTTTAAAAGCAGACTCTGCCTTTTTTTTTTAAATGCAATTATTCTGGGCGGCTTACAATATACATACATTCACACAAACTACATATAAGTAGTTCTCAACTTACAACCATGATAGAGCCCATTTCTATTCCTAAGCGAGACAGTTGTTAAATGAATTTTGCCACATTTTACAACTTTTCTTGCCACAGTTGTTCAATGAACCACTACAGTTGCCAAGTTTTCCCCGAAAATAAAACCCACCCAGAAAATAAGCCCTAGTTGGATTTTTTGGCATGTGGCTAATAGAAGCCCTACCCCAAAAATAAGCCCTAGTTAAGAACCCGCTCACTCTGTTCCACCTTTTGATTGCTTGCAGCCACAACTGGGCAGCAGAGCACGTGTTGCACCAGCATGAAGAGAGGAAAGTCAGGTGGGGGTGGAGCTGTCCCACACACCCCATACCCGCTTACCTCAGGGCCCCACAGCTAGGCCACTCCCTGCTTGGTGACCTGCCCACTCATTCAATGACCTGGCTGCCCACCTACCTCTTCCCTTTTACTTCCCTCCCAAGTCAGACTGCCATGTTACAGAGGATGAGTGGGGGAGATTCGATCGCCTTACATGGTCCACCTCCGCCATTTCAGAGCCAGGGGGGAGAGATGGCGAAAGGCTTCCACTGCTGCTGTGCATCTGCCATGTCTGCTGCTGGAGGGGCTTCCTTCGCTCCTCCTGGCCCCATCCTGCTCCGCAGATCACCTGCACCAGTGCCAGCGGCACCCTCTTTTGCCTGCCTCTTGGGTCCTGTGTCGCGCTGTCTGCTCCCCATTTGCCACCTTTATTGTATGGTTTCAATGGCAGCAGCTCTGGAGGCTGTGAGAGAGAGCGCCTACCACTGACCTCCAGAGCTGCGACATTGAAATCACACAACACAGGCGGTAAATGGGGAGCAGGCAGTGCGATGCAGCCACACAGGAACCCAAGAGGCAGGCAGAGGAAGACGCAGTCACCCGCACCAGCAAGTGATCTGCAGGGTGGGGCCATCGTGGACTGAAGAAAGCACCTCCAGTGGTGGACATGGCTGATGCACAGCAGCTACAGAGGCCTTTTGCCACCACTCCTCCCTGGCTACGAAACAGTGGAGGGAGACTAAGGCGACCAGGCCTCCCCCGCCCATCCTCTGTAGCATGGCAGTCTGGCTTGGGAGGGAAGTGAAAGGGAAGAGACAGGCGGGCAGCCGGGGCATTGAATGGGTGGGGAGAGGTCAACAAGCGGGGTGTGGCCTGGCTACGGGGGCTCTGAGGTAAGCAATACGGGGTGCAGCTCCACCCCCTTACCTGCCTCACCTCACTTTGTGGCGGCGGCACTGGTGTGATGCACGCTCTGCTGCCCTGTTGCAAAGGTGAGCAACCAGATGATGGGATGGAGTCAGCAGGGGGGCCGCAAAGTCATACATCCCCCCCAAAATAAGCCCTAATAGGTCTTTTGGTCCCCAAAACAATACAGTATCCAGTCTTATTTTCAGGGAAACATGGGTCAGTGAATCTAGCTTCCCTATTGGCTTTGCTAGTCAGAAGGTTGCAAAAGTTAATGGAGTTATAACCTGGATTTGAAGTTCTGACAGTTACCTATCTTCCCCTCCCCACAGTCACATAACTATATTTTGGTCACTCGGCATCTGGCCATTTGCAGTGACATAACTGCAATTTACGATGTCATTCCCAGAGATCTGAATTTGTTTTCTGTTGCTAGTGAAAAATGCCCCATAGCAAATAATGTGTCTGCTTAATGATACCCACAGAAAATGACATAAAATCAGGCATGATCATGTGATGATCTGCTTTATGACTATCATAACGTATAATCGAAAACGCAGGCTCAATTATGGTCAAGGATCGCCTATATACCGATTGTCACATAAGAACATCTTATAAGTAGATTACTTTTTATAGCACACTCTTTTTAGTCCAGAATGAGAACTAGTTAGAATGAATTCTCTAAACTTTTAAAAATCCATTCTGATTTGGAAGTATCTGAATGATTTCTCTTATCCAGTCCTGAATATTTTTAGTCTTCTTTTACCTGGAATTGTTTTTCTTTTCTTTTCAAAATTGTTAATTCTAAACATTTTATTAGTTTTGGAATGTAGTCTTTTATGCGATCTTCACACAACCTTTTTGTTTTGTTTTGCTATTTGTCTTACAGTTATTGTTGCTGATTGGATTCATTTGTATAAGATCTTCACAGTGGACAGATCACAGTGCATACAGCTACTTTGAAATTGTCTGCATATGTGACTTAATTATGATCTTCATCTTTTACATTATCTACATCTTTAGAGCCTATCGAAAGTTGACTTGCATTAGCTGGCCTCTTGCGGTAAGTTCCTATCCATAATTAAAATAATCTTTGTCAACTTCCAGAAAGATTACTGCTTACATTAAATTGTTTTGTTACACTTGTATCTGAACTCCAGCAATTCCTATGTAGCATTTTTACTCCAAATTTCCACTAGAAGTTATTATTTAGGATTTCAGCATCTGATGATACATAGTTTCCAGTACCTAAGGAAAATATTAACATACAAACAGGAACCACTGAATGTCTTCTTTTCCTTATAAAGTTAAAATGGCTGAATTTTTATCAATCTGTGTAACCTGCATTTTTAGCAAGGTAGTGGGAATAGATATAGTACACACTTTGCTACTCATAATCTGCTCTGGTTTAGTTATCATCCTTTCAGATTGTCGAACATAATCGCTTAGAGGTGTAATGGCCTCTGTATTTCCTGATTTTAGTTCTATGTTTTCCACTGCTACCTCTCTGCATTAGGCAGACATACCCACCCACCAGGGACAGGAGACATGCTCACTGCAGTGAAGATAATCAAATAAAGAGGGCACTGTATCTTGTAGTACAACATATAGAATATCCCAACCTTAGACCCATACATCTCTAGACTGAAAAACCTGAAAGGCATCTGGCATGACTATTAAATTCTTAGCCATCCCACCATCATAGAAAGCAATATTCTTCCAGAGTGTTTTATCCAAGATTTATTGAAAGAGGGTAGGAGAAAAATCTCAACACCTGGATTGTTTCACTTCTCCTCCCCCTCCTTTCCATTTATTTTCAAGGTTCCTAAGGCATAAATTTAAATAGCTGAAGTTTCCTACTCATGGTTCCTGTGTGAATTGGTGAGGAGGCTGGTATCTTAACCAATAAGGGAGGAATGGCCTACTTGTTTGAAAGTAAATGTCTATCTCCTTATAAAAATACAATTACATTCCATCACTGGTCAATAGGCAAATCTAAGACAGATACACCAAGTATAAGGCAACTTCATATTTTCTGAAAAATCTACCATGCTGAATGCATAACTTTTAATTTATATACTACTAAAATCTCATATTTGTAACCTTTAACTAGGCGAAACATTCTGAACCAAGGTACCTCAAATGACCTAATTTATAGAATGCCTCCAAAATCTGGGACCCATGACTCCTGTGGAACATTTAACAACATAACAGTATCATAAAGGAGTTTATGACATAATACAAAATGTCATAAAACATTTCTTGTGGTTAGTTCCTGATGTTTTCTATATATTTCAACATGGGCTATTTCCAAGGCAGGTACATCTTTGAATATTTCCTTGAATCTTTAAAAAAAACCCTTTTCAAATAAATGAGAAATAATGCTATTTTTGAAGGCATTGAGGAATCTGGTAAGGAAATATCTCTGCAATGATGAGCCAAGGGAACATGGGTTGTTTGGTGACTTCATAGAGTAGTCATTGGCAGAGGACCAGTAGTAACTGTCCAAAGAAAGAAAAGTGGTGCATGCTTCTATTTTTTTTTTAAACTAGGCAGTGGGGTAACAATCATATCCATTTTATTAGAATGGCATTTTCCCTTCTATCTTTCATTCGGGAAAGGTTACCTAGAAGAAAATGAATAAATAGTTTCAAATTTGCGTTTTTAAGTTTATTTGCCACCTATCTTACTGTGGAGCTACACCAGGAGCCTTAGAACAGTAAAAAGAAAGAAATGAAAAGAGTGTAAACAAAACAGAAAAGAAAGTAAGAGAACAAGAAAATGAGAATACATCAGTACAATAATAAAGAGATGGATGGGTGGAGAGCAAGAAGGGGAGGTGGAATTCGGCAGGTCTTCAGGCTCCTGCAGAAAAATAGAGGATGGGGCAGATATTACTCTAGAGAGTAGGATGTTCCAAAGGCTGGACATTGTGGCAGAGATGGTGCAGAATTCTTTGATTGACAGTATCCAAAGTAGACCCTCTCTGCCAGCAAAAGTAGGACAGGCTTGTCTTAGTGGGATGAGACAGTTCATCAGGTAGCCTGGACCTATGCCATTAAGGACTTTAAAGATTATAATCAATACCTTGAACTGTACTTGGAAGCAGACCGTTATCCAGTGAAATTTGTGGAGCAGAGATGGATCATTCTAGGGCAAGGCTTTTCAACCAGTGGTACGGGTACCACCTATGGTACATTGGCATCTGGCAGGTGGTACGTGACCATCCTAGAAAAGTGGTAGTGGGGGAGGGGAATGAGCTGAACCAGTGGCAGCATTGCACAAGCCTGAGCGAGAGATGGTTGGAGCTGCAGGGCTCAGCGGAAGCGCCAGGATCAGCGCTTCTTCGGGACTGTCAGGGCTCAGTGGAAGTATCAGGATCAGCGCCAGGCTCCAGCTGGAGCTCAGCACTGATCCTGGCACTTCTGCTGAGCCCAGAAGAAGCACTGATCAGCTGGAATGTTGCAGCATCTCCAGGGTCTTATGATTTACATTCAGATGCTTGGCAACTGATTCATATTTATGATGGTCACAGTGTCCGAGGGTCATGTGAAGTAACCAAAACCTGCTGCAACTACCCAGCAGATAGAGGGAATAAAAACCAAACACCTCCCCACTCCACCCCCACTGCCAATCCTCAACAGAAATGCTCACAGCAATGAAAATCTCGGACAGAAGGAAGAGCGCCACCGGGTGGGCAGGCAGGTGTCTTGCTCGACTGTGGCTAGGGGGGCACTTTTTTCAGTGCCATTGTAACTTCGAACAGTCACTAAGCGAACTGTTGTAAGTCGAGGACTATCTGTACTTCATCAGTTTTTTCCTTTTTTGGGGGGTCATCAAGTTTTTGACACCTTGCTAGGCGACTGGTGGTACTCAGATACTGCCATATCCTAAAAGTGGTACAATGGATGAAAAGGTTGAAAAGCCCTGTTCTAGGGGCCCTAAAGACTGCTTTTGCTGCCGCACTTTGCACCAACTAAAGCTTCTGAATGGATTTCAAGGGTAGCTCCATGTAGAATACATTGCAGACGTCCAGACAAGAGATGACTAGGACTTGAATAACTGAGTGCAGGGATTCATGATCCAGGATAGTTTGTAACTGGTGCACAAACTGCGGCAAAAGATCTCTTAGTCAGGCCTGCTATCTGCTCTTTGAGCAGGAGATGTAAATCCAGGAGAACCCCTAAATTACGAACTGGATCTGAATAGATAGTGCAATCCTGTCCAGAACTAAGGATGACAAAAACTCAGATCATGAGGATCCATGCACTCCAAAAGCATTCAGTCTTGCCAAGGTTCAGTCAAACTCTGTTATCCCCACCCAGGTCACTTCAGGCATCGCAAGAAAGCAGAAACAGCATAATTTGAGTCACCAGGTATAGAGCTGACTATCATCAGCATATTGATGATATCTGAACCCATGGTAACAGATGATCTCACCCAATAGCTTCATGTAGATGTTAAACAGGAGAGGAAAGAATAATTGAGCCTTTTGGGACATAGCAAATGAGCAGTTGGAGGCTGGATCTCTTAATCCTATCAACACCAATAGGGACCAACCTTGAAGAAAGGAGCTGAACCAGCACAAAAGTGTGTCACACAGCCCCAGCTCACATGGCTGGACCAAAAGGATATCATGGTCCGTGATATCAAAGGCCGCTGAGAAGTCAAATAGAGCAAGAATGGTTGTACTACCCCCATCCCATTCCTGCCAGAGATTGTCCATGAATATGATCAAAACTGTCTCTGTCCCAGAGCCAAGCCTGACTGAAAGAGTCTAGGAAATCTGTTTCATCCAGGACTCACAGAGCTGCCAAGCAACTACATTTTCCACTACCTTTTCCTAAAAAAGAATATGGGAGACTGAATAAAAGCTGTCCAAGCAGATGGGTTCCAGTGAAGGTTTTTTAAGGAAAGGACAAAGCAGGGACTCCTTAAAAGCTCCTGGGAATGTTTCCTCTTGCAGTGAGGAATTTTCATTGCATGAACCCATCTGCTGATCACCATCCTTCAGGCTTTCACCAGCCAGGAGGACAAGAGTCTAATTGACCAGAGGTTGCACTGACAGCACACAGAATCATATGAAGAACAGTTGCGGGAATTGGGTATGTCTAGTTTAATGAAAAGAAGGACTAAGAGTGACATAATAGCAGTGTTCCAATATCTCAGGGGTTGCCACAAAGAAGAGGTCGACCTATTCTCTAAAGCACCTGAAGGCAGGACAAGAAGCAATTGGATGGAAACTAATCAAGGAGAGAACCAGTCTAGAACTAAGGAGAAATTTTCTGACAGTGAGAACAATTAATCAGTGGAATGACTTGCCTACAGAAGTTGTGTTTGCCCAAAAATGGAGGTTTTTAATACAAGATGACAACCATTTGTCTGAAATAGTGTAGGGTCTCCTGCTTGAACAGGGGATTGGACTAGAAGACCTCCAAAGTCCCTTCCAATTCTCTTATTCTGTTACATAAACTCATTAACTATACCTGGGGCTTCAGTCGCAATGAAATGTTCCTTTGATAGCCTTCTGATGTAAAGTACAGACACTTTGTGTAGCTTTTCTTCTAAACTACATTGTCTTTGTTTTATTTTAGGAGTTTCTCCATTACCTAATAGGTACTATTCTGCTTCTTATTGCATCCATTGTGGCAGTTGCCAAAAGCTCCAATTCAGCAGGCCTGGTAGCTGGAGCGGTGAGGCTGTTTGCCATTTTTTGTTACATATAAGCAAGTTTATTTATCAGATCTTAAGACATATTTGAGATTTTTTCCCATAAATAAGCACACTAAAAGAAAGAGTTCATATATTCAAGTGTACGTATTGACTGAGGATTGGGTATGATAAATCTTAAAAAATACTGGCAAAGATATTTAACATTGCTTTTTCTCATTACTGTTTTAATCCTCCATTATCAAAACCTATGTATCTCTTTTTTATTATGTTACTTTTACATAAATTTTAATAACTAAGCAAGCAATTATTCAACTTAATGTGCTGTAGGTTGAGGAAAGCTTTATTAAGTTCAGTGGAATCTGCGCAAGAATTCCAAATAGATTGTTTTCACATTGCTGGCCTTATACATTGGGCTGTAATTTTGGCCCAAATAAAACAATGGCATTCTTAAAAACTCCATTCTATTACCAGATTCTGCAATAATGCACAGGGTTTTTGAGGTCATGAAGATTTCAAAATTTCTGGGTAACAGCTATTTGTGGCTTGCTCTTTTACCTCAAATGTTGTTTAATAGCAGAGTACATGCAATATTCATAAAATAGCTACGTTTGAACTCTAAACTTAATGTTTAATGAATTAGCTTGCTGACTGCATGCTAAATAATCACATACTGGACACATTTTAAAAACAGATTTACAACAAGAATTGCTCTAGTTGCTGAGCAGCCTATTCCAGGGTTCTCATGCCCTCAATTTTTTACTCATCCCAGATAATGGAAACAGATTAATGGAAAGAAATTTCTCTCTTGTCTTCTCCCATCGCTCTTGATCACTGTGTTCTTATTACATTATAATGAAAATGCATTCTGCCATGCTTTATACGGAAAAAAGAAAGAAAATCTGTCTTGGTAAGGTGATAGCAGATAAAGCTCACTCTCCAATTACTACTGTACTTAAAATCATTTGTTGCAAATTGCAAACAGTGATTTGCAAGCAGATTTCTGCTGGTTGGAATAAAAGAGAGTGGGAGGGCAAAGAGGTATGCATTTGACCAGTACCTGCAGTAAATTGATCACAATATTATTATTTAGAATCTATAGAATCTTAATGTAAGATATTTTTGAATATGACTCCTTTGCTGATGCTTTTTTTAAAATAGGTCTTCGGATTCTTAGCTACATTTATGTGCTTCCTAAGTATATGGCTCTCTTACAAAGTCTCTTGTAACACTCAGTCAGCAGGTAAGATCCCATTGAATCAGTTTCACCAACCAGCTCTGTGTTGCCCATTTTCCTTGCATTATTTAGTCCATAGACAGATCCATTATGTTATTTTTTTCAGGCTCTATGATCTATTTATATTTATTATTTAATCTGGGGAACGATGGGGAATTGATAGTGATCTGTTCCACTTACATATTTATTGGATCTATAGAGCAAATGAAAGTAACACGTTCTTCGCTCAGGCAGCTAAGGGTGGCATGCACAGTATTTTCACTTTCAATTTTAAAACAACCTGATGGGAAATATTGAGCTAAAAGACAATGACATATTTAAGGCCATCCAATCTCTTCCATCATGACTATGTGATATGAATCCGGAGTTATTAAATTCTGACTTGGGATCCTAACCACTATTCCAATTTTGCTCTTAAGATAATAATCAATGGAAGAAATGCTTTGGCAATTTTGCACATATTTTTATTGCTGATTTGGCCTGTGTAGAGAGAATAGCCAGAAAGATGAGGGTTTTTTCTCTAGGTTATATTGTAGTTTGGGAATGACACTGTAAACTGTTCTGGTCTAAGAAATTTGTTCTTATTTTCTTCTGCTCTATGCAGAATTCTGCAGTCTTGTATGTTCAAAATTTACAAAACAAGATTGAAGTATGTTTGATAGCTGTAGAATTCAAGAAGTAGCTTTATTGCCAAGCAATTTATACTTCGTTTGTTAGTTATTCAAAACATTTGCAGTTTCTTCACTGATCTCCTTTAGGCTAAGATTTTCTTGACCAACCAGGATAAACTCATATCCCAAACTTCCCATCTCACATATTGCTAGCTGATTTTTTTTTATTTGCAATATTTCAGCAAGTGATTATTTATTTTATCAATTAAAGTATATTTATGCATCAGTTGTATTGAGCCAGGACAAGTGGTCTAAAAAGATTTATTTAAAAAATTGATTTACAACTAAGTGGGTAATCTTAAAACTTTAAGATGCATTACTTCTGTCTTCTCGTAATATTAGAGAAAGCTCCATTATGTTTTGCTAGTTAAATATAGTAAACATTTCAGGTGCAGACATCACATTTCTATCACATACTTATGGGCTCATCACACTCCAGATTTTAATACAGGCAAAATTCACATTTGGCTGATTATCTTTCACCCATCCTCCGATTTGATG